ACCCTATGTGTCTCTACCTCCCATCTTCTCTAGCTTTCAATCTCATTGTGTGTTTCTCTTTCTCTCTCCCTCTCCCTAACTCATTTCTCTCACTCCCTTTCCCTAACTCCACTTCTGCTCCCACTCCCTCACTCACTCCCCCTTTCTCTTTCTCTCTCCCTCTATCTCTTGTAGATTCTATCTCACTCTCCCGTTGCATATTTTCCTCTCTCCCTTATCTCTTTCTCACTCTTTCTCATTATTCTCTATCTAAACCTCACTCTCCCACTCTCTTTCTCTCTTCAAATGTCTCTCACAATCACTCTTATGCTCTCTCTCTTACTCCCTCTCCGTCTCGCTCACTCACTATTCTTTATCTCTTTTTTTCACTATCTCTCTGCCTCTTCATATCTTTCTCTCTTACTTTCTCTTACCATCACACCAACTTTCTCTGCTCCTCTTTCTCTCCCCTTTCTCCCACCACTGTCTTGCAATCTTACCCTTTTACTCGCTCTTACTTTATCTCTTGCTCTTGCTCTCTCCCCTCTAGCTGTCTCACTTGCTCTTCTCCCTCACTGTCTCAACATTTCTCTTAGTTTCTCTCTCTCCGTTCCTCTCTCTACCATCAACTCTCTAGCTCCTATCCTCTCCCCTTCTCTCCCTTACTATCTCTCTATTTCTTATTCTCTCTCTGTCTCAAAAGCTCTATCTCGCTCTTTCCCCCTCTCATTCTCGCTCTATCTTTCTCTCTCTATCTTCTCTATTTTCTATGTCTCATTTGCTTTACTTTACTCTATTTTTTCTCGCATTTTTATTTTTTCTCTTAACAAATTCTTTCTCTCTCTCGCTCTTCTCTTTCTCTCTACACCCTCCTTTCATCCTCTATCTCTTTATCTCTCCCTCCTACACTCTCTCTCCTCCATCTCCTTCTCAATTTCTCTCTTCTCTAGAAATTTACTCACTTCACTCCCTCACCATCTCTCCATCTCTTTTACCATCTCATCTATTAGGTCACTTTCAATTCTTATTTCTCTCCTGTAATTTCTATCTCTTACCCCCCTCTCCAACTCTCTCTCTCACTCTTGTCTTTCTACTTCCTCTCTCTCCTTTTATTCCTCTCTCCTCTCCATCACTTTATCTCCCACACTCTCTCTCACTTTCTTTCTCTCTTGACATCTGCTTTCTCCCTCCCTCCCTCTCTCTCACTAGCTTGCCCTCTACCCCTCTATCTCCCTTCCTCTCACCTTTCTCTCACCTTACTCACACTATCTTTACTATGCCACTTTATTTCTTTCACTCTCTCTATCTCTCTTTCTCAACTCTTTCACTCTCTCCCACTCTTCATCTCTCCTTCTCTCATGCTTTCCCACTCACCCTCAAGCTCTACGTCCCTCTCACTTACTCTCCCTTCCCTCTCACAAATTATTTCTTACTCTTTCTAGCTCTTTTACTCTTTCGCTCTCTCATCTCTCTCACTATTTCTTCCTCATTTTATAGGTCAATCTCCTTTTTCTCTCCTTTCTCTCTCTATAGCTCTCCCTCCCACTCTACCCATCTTTCCCCTCTCACTTCTTATTACTACCTCTTTCTCTTACTCTCTCTCACTCTCTCAATTTCTTTGCCTCTCCCTTTGTGAGATAATGAGAGAGGGGAAGAGAAGGAAAGATAAAGGATGGAAAGAGATAGAGAGAGCGAGAAGGAATGAGAGAGATGGAACTAGAGCAAGAGAAACAGAGAGGAGAAAGATAGAGGGGATGAAGAGTAAGGGAGAGTGAGAGACAAATAGAGAAGAAGCAAGAGAGTAAGAGAAGAGAGAGATATGGATGAATAGAGAATGAGATAGACTTGTAGAGCATGTAATAGAGAGATATCAAAAAAGAGGAGAGGGGGTAAGGAGCAAGAGTGTTAGAGGATGGGAGGGAGGTAGGATAAGGAGGGAAGAGAGGTAGAAGGAGGGAGAGAAGAAGAGGGTAGAAGAGAAAGGGACATAGAAAAAAATAAGAGACAAATAAGATATAACAAGGGTGAAAGAAAGGGATTAGAAGGGAGAGAGATTGAGTGATTGGGCGAGTGTGAGAGATAGTGAGAGTAAAGTGAGTGAGAAAGGGGGAGAGGAGGAAATGAAGGGAGGGACATGAGAGATTGCACGTGAGGGATGGAGGGAGGGTGGGAGGAAATGAAAGAGATAGAAAGAATGAAGAAACTTAGAGTGAGAGAGGAGGTAAGGAGAGGGAGTGAGAGAAATGGATATAATGAGAAGAGACGAGAGTTACAAGGTTATGCAAGATGGAAGGAAAGAGGGAGGGAGTGAAGAAATAATGGAAGACAAATGATTGAAAGGTAGTGAGAGGGAGAGAGGAAGAGAGAGAAAGAAGATAAAAGGACAAATGAGAGTGGGAGGGATGGAGAGAGAAAGAGGGTGGGAGAAAAAGTGAGTAAGAAAGAGAGAGAGTCAGAAAGTGTGAGAGAGTTTGTGAAACAAAGAGAGAGAAGAGAGAGCAAGTAAAGAAAGAGAAGGCAAAGAGAGAAGTGAGAGATAGATAGAAAGGAAGACTGAGATGAGAGAGTTCATGAGAGAGAAAGAGGAGAGTAAGTAAAGAGAGAGGGAGTGATGGTAAGAATGAGTAAGAGAGCATGACAAAGAATAGAGAGCTATAGAAATAATATAAGGGAAAGA